ATAGAAGGGTGTGAGAGAGAGAGAGAGAGAGAGCGAAGTCGCTGTTCGTTCTGCATCTGCCGTTCAGTACCTCACCATGGAAAGAGAAGAAAAAGAACTGTTGAAGCTGAACACCCAACAAGCCAACCCACCGACCACTTACGCTGCTAAACTGCTAATGGAAGAGTCAAGAGAGAGAGAGGGAGATAAAGAATTAGAAAGAGGAGATAAAGAAAGAACTTTCACTGATTGAACGCTGCCATTCTTATTTTAGTACTTTGTCATCTTTCATTTTAAAATAAAAAAATATTTATAATATTTAGTTTTGTCTTTTGTTTAGGGCTTGGAATCTTCCACCATTGAATCTGATTATATGAATGTGTAGTCCCTTCTTTGTCTGTGGTCCCCTTTTTGATAAATTACTTAATAAAATCAATATACCACATGTTATTTGTGTTATCTTTTTTAATGCTTAAATACTCTTAGAATTTTTTTTTTGTTTAGTAATTTGAAAGTTTCTAGGTATTAAAGAGAAAATGGAGAGATTTTTAAGAAAGGAAATTACCATAGAATGAAGGACAATTTTCATCAAGAGCTTGTGAATCAAATAGCCAACAACAACACTAACAAAATGAAATTAATTTAAAAGATTTGCCATTAGATTTAGAAAAAAAAAATTAGAATTTCATCTTCTCATCCTAATGTCCAAGATAAGTACATAGAGCATATTTGCAAAAAAGATCATGTCAATTTGCTCAACATAATTTTTTTTAAAGAAAAATTCGAAATTCTATGAAAAGATTTTGTCTTTCTTGCTTTAAAGAATTAGGCAATTGGTTAGAGTACAGTATTAAAAAAGATGTTGTGTTTTGCTTATGTTATTACCTTTTTAAGCTCGACCATGGAAAGCAATTAGGTAGTGAGTATTTGGGACAAAGGATTTACAAATTGGAATAAAAAAAAAACGGAAAGCTCACATCCCATTTTGAAGGTTCTAAATGTGCTCATGATATTGCTTGGAAAAAGTATCAAGATTTAATGAATCAAAATCAATGTATTGAAGTTGCAATTTTTAAGCAATCTAAACAAGTTCATGACTTACATTAAAGACATTTGAATGCATCAATCAATTGTCTCTACTTTTTGTTAAAGTAAGGATTAGTAATTTTGTGAACTTCTTAGGTTTTTCACTAACCATAATGAATCAATCAATCAAGTTATTTTGGAAAGTGCTCCTGAAAATAGCCGATTGACTTCTCATGAAATTCAAACAAATATTATTACGGCTGCTGCAATTGAAACCACTAATGCTATTATTTGTAATCTTGGAGATGGACTATTTGTCATTATTGTTGATGAGTCACAAAATGTATCAAATAAGGAGCAAATGGTTGTTGCTTTGCATTATGTTGATAAAAATGAATGTCTTGTTGAACATCATCTGAGCATAGTATATGTTAAGGAGACTATTGCTCTATCATTAAAAATAAAAGTTCATGAATTGTTACGCAACTTTGGGCTAAATATATCAAGAATACGTGGACATGGTTATAATGGTTCTAGTAATATGCAAGGTAAATTTAGTGATCTCAAAAGTTTAATCACGAGGGAGAATTTGTTTGTATTTTATATGCATTGCTTTGCTCCTCAGCTATAGTTTACATTACTTGCGTTTGAAAAAAAAAATCATATTCAAGTTGCCTCTCTTTTCAATTTAGTGAATACTGTAACAAATGTTGTTTGGGGATCTTGTGTATGACGTGATTTGTTTCGTGAAAAATAAATAAAAAATGTTAGAAAGGCATTGGACATAGGTGAAATTTCTAATGGACAAGGCTTAAATAAAGAAATTGGTTTTAAAAGAAGTGGTATACTCATTGGAGCTCACATTATGCACAATTGTTTACCTTGAAATTGACATTTTTTGCTATAATTGATATTCTTGAAATTATAAAAGAATTTGGATCAAATGCAGGTCAAAGAGAGGAAACCAATGGTATTTTATGCTTGTTGGAGGATTTTTTTTATTTTGCATTTACCCTACATTTAATGAAAAATATCTTAGGTATCTCACATGAGTTGTCATAGGCATTGCAAATGAAGGATCAAGATATTATCAACGTAATAAACTTAGTAAACATCACAAAAGAGTGACAATAAACTTTGAGGAATAGTGGATGGGAGTTTCTTTTAGAAGAAGTTACTTTATTTTACAATAAGCATGTCATTAATAGTTCTAACATGGAAGATGCTTTTTTTTTTTTTTTTGTCTAAAGGGAGATTGCATTGTGGAAGTAAATCTCAACCAATCTCAGTTGATCATCTTTATTGAGTTAAATTATTTTATACTGTTGTGAATATACAACTTTAAGAACTAAATGATTGTTTCATTCAAACAAATACACAATTGCTCCTTTGCATGTTTTGTTTGAATCCAACAAATTCATTCTCAACTTTTGGTAAGGAAAGGTTAATTGAATTTATCAAGTTTTATTCATGTGAGTTTTATTGCATGATATGTGAAGCAATACTAAATTTGCATCATTAAAAGGAATTAGTAATCCTACAAAAAAATTAGTGAAAACAAGAAGATATATAGTTTATCTCTTAGTTTGTATTCTCTTGAAGTTAGTAATGATATTACTGGTTGCCACAGTAACAAAAGAAAGAGCCTATTCTATTATAAACTTTGTGAAAAATTAGTTGCAGAATTGTATGAGAGATTTATTGATGAATAATTGTTTAGTGATTTATATTAAAAAAATATATTTTTCTTAGCATCAATAATGAGATTATTGTTCAACAATTCTAGAATATAAAGTCATGCAGGATACAATTGCAATGTATGTACATGCTTTATTTAAAAAAATTATTTTTAAATTATTAATTATAAAAATGTTGCACCCCCTGGCCTATGTTTCTGGCACCATATTCATTCATTATATAAAGTTTGCGATCGATGTTATTTTTTAAAACGATGGGTAAATGAGTCTTTTCACAAAAAAAAATATATATTTGCGTATAAGAAGTTTGGGGCTACAGAATGAATTTAGAATACATTGGACTTTATTTATGTATAATTCTATCGGGCTGCAGAATCAATTTAAAATGTGTTGAACTTTAGGTATGATTTTACACCCAAAAAAAAAAGCTGATGGAGCTTGCACTATTTATTAGAAGAATGAAATATTAGTGCAGCTGGCACTCTTAATCATTCTTTTTTCAAATTTCAATTTATTAAAAAACTAATCTATAATATGCCAAATGTGACCTTAGTGAATTTGATTAAGAATTTACATGTTCAATTGCTCCACGTCTCTCTATCTTTTGTAAGTTCTTGCTGGCTTACCCTCAAAGTTTTGTAACGTTCTGAAGTCATTTTTGTTTATTTATCCACGGATCTATATTTTGCATCTATTTAAGCCCAGAAATGATTTCCATTCTTATCATGTTATGAGCAGAGCTAATGAAGAAAATGTTATATAACTTAAAACTGCAGCCAGTAAAACTAGACTCGATAATTTAGATTGGCCTAACAAATTTGAAGGTCATGTTTAGAGAAATTGTAATTTTTTATATTCGAGTTTAATTAGGCCGACCCAGCATAATATATTTTTTATACACAATATATAAATTTCTTAAGACTTCCTACATTTTTTACTATCAGATTATATGTATATTTGAGTTTACTATTATAGAAATATTCTTAAAGTTCAAAAATATCTCTATTGTGATATTTCTATCATTTGTAATCGATAAAGCACCTTAAAATAATCTTAAAAACGTATTTCAATACTGATTTTTAAATTTTAAGTCCCACAGTTTTCCTTAAAGAATTAGAGTCTTTCATATTTTTGAAGTGTCTCAAAAGGTATATTGTATATTTCTTAATAATAACAATAATTAATTTTGTTTATCCAAAAAAATAATTAATTTTAAGGTGAAAATTGAAATTGGATTAAAAATGAAAAAAAAATAAAAAATTTTCTAACAATTCATATATTCAATTCAAAAGCTTAATATATTAAGATTAAGATTAAGCTTAGTTATATGAGTTTTTTTTTTTTTTTTTTGTATTTGGACTTAGTTGGGATTAGTCCAACTCCAATAAGTTGGACTAGCACGGAGAATGCACTTGGCATGTGATGGTTGAGTTGAGATTTGTATGTCTAATGGATAGTACTGGGTAAATTGGTATAATTAATTGTGTGATTAGCAGCATGACTTCTTTTTTTCTCCAGTTGAAGGTAAATAGAACTAATGATGATAATCATATTAATAACCCAGGAATACTTCGTTTAACTAGTTGAGAAAATTAGTTGAGGAAATTAAATCAACTTCTCCATTTGAGCTCGAATCCTAAGATATGAAATATCGTTTAATAAATATGCCAAATCATTTAAAAAAAAAAAAACCATGAAGCCACTGTTAGTAACAACAGTCTCACACTGAAAATTCAGATTAATCTAGATGACAGTGATAATACTCTCATGTTTTCCATAATACTGGATAATTGAATAATATATATATATATATATATATATAATAAACAGAAAACAATTTCGTTTAATTACTTTCCTGTTTTTCACCTAGCACAGTTACATGGTGTAATTAGATTTAGGCTTGCAATAGTGATTGAATATTTGGCAGAAAACACTTTAGCCCGTTGGTTTTAATATGATGCTAGATTTAGTGAAGACGTGTTACGTTCAATATCTTTTCTTGGGACAATTTATTTTTGAGATTATAACTATAATACGCTCAATGACGATAATAGCCGACAACTTCCAAGTTGCGAAGCCGTCTGTTAGAAAACTGATGTGACTTGATTGTGGTCTCTAACCAGAGACTAATCGGATTATACACAACCAGCGAAATAAGATATAAAAACCGTTGAAATTTCATTGATCACAATACATAATGAAAATATAGGTGAAAAAAAAAGGAAAAAAAAAATCCGTCGAAAAAATAATCAATCTCAAATCTAAATGAAGCTGCATTGCCCCAGAAGAAGAAAAACAAAGAAAGAAACGCATCATATTTTCATTCAATATAATAAAAAAAATGAGGGAAAACAATCAATGTGATGCACTAATATTTTGAGCACATGTGGGAGAGCAATGAGAGAACTATACTTGCAACTAATTTACCTATCACTAAAGGCTAACGCTTGTCTCTGATAGTACATATATTACAAGACATCCCTGAACCACTGGGATGGAACCAAAAATGCTTACAAACAAGAGCTCAAAAACCTTAAACCACGATTCCTAACAATTGTTATCTATAAAATATCTGTAATTTACTTCTGTATGCCCTAAAATCTATGACTTTATGAGGGGTGTAAGTCCATCACCTTCCCAACCCAGCTTCAGCATTTGATCAACTACTTTCAAGCTTAACTGCAAGCAAGAACTAGCTCAGTTACAAGCCATGGCATGTAGCAAGCTTCAGTTAAAAAATATGTTGGAGATATCATATTTTAGAGGTTATAACTCAAATTTAAAGTTTTAGGCCCTGTCATCCAACTTCCATGAGTACGTCATTACCCAATAACAAACTTTGACCATAGAGAAAAATTGAAAATTAAGTGAAACTCTAAAGATTAACAGAAAAATATTAAACTGATAAAAGCATTTTTGCAGAGTTTAATTCTGTGCCCTTTGGGGTAGTTATATGAACCTTTTTTTCTTGCTCACAAATATTCTCGTTAGATGCAATCCTATTCAAACACGGTTATGCACTGAATGTGGATACCTATCTCTCTCAATGGGGATTTGTTCTTTCAAGTTGTGAGGAACTAGTCTCTTTCAATAAACTCAACCCCCTGTTGGTGTAGTTATATGAACTTTAAAGGTAGGTTCCGTTGTTGAGAAATGAACATCCCATGTTATTTAGGAATTTTTTTTTTAAAGCATTTTGAAGGAAAATAAAGGAAGTTTATTACTTCAAACAAAATACATGGAGCAGAAAACGTGACACCTTGCACTGCAAACTACACAAAAAAGGACAAAGTCAAAGAATGATTTCACCTACAGCTGGATCAGTGAAGATTATCAACTGTTTATCCAAAGTTGAGACCAAAAGATTTGTGTTATCCTTGTTTAAAGCTAGAGCTGTGATATCCTGTCCTTTTCCCAGCTTTAATATATGAAATACCTACAAATAATAGTACGGCATATTGGTTAGAAACGAGGTAAAACAGTCTGGCAGGACTGAGATTAAGGGACCTGCAGAAAAGGACGGCCCATGAAATTTCGTCGTTTCATTTTACGGTTATTATGTCATACTGAAATTAACAATCAATGTATGGCCCACATAAAAATTATCACACTTGATTCAAAGAGAAAGATACAAATAAAGATTAGTTCTAGACAAATATAAGGAAGGAAGAAACTGCAGTACGCAAGAATTGAGGGTTAGTTCTGCCTGAGAAAATTTCTTTAGCGAGGAATATGCAGAAAATATTTCTAGTGTGAACTCTAGGATAAACGCAAGTTCGAAATTGATGCGAAATAAAGCAACTGGGTAGTGTGAATTAGAAATCAAGATGTTTACTTTTGACATCTGAATTAATGCATCTTAATATTTTACCTTCAGAGTGTGCAAATCCAGGAAGCAAATAGATGGCAACGAAGCATTTATTCCATTGCTTTCTTGAGCTTTTCCTGATTCTGAATCAATATCATCATCGCTCAAATTCCAACTATTATTATAGACCCCAGCATTTTCTAGAGGATTAATTCCAATTAAGGCACTCTTCCCATCAACAGGAATTTCAATGCAACTAATCCTGCTAGAGAAAGATAATTGTGTTTCAGCAATTAAAACACCATTAAGAGTGAAGGTGCTGAGAGTATGCTCTGATTCGTTCCAAGTCACAACAACACCATCAGAGAAAGGCGGACAATATGAGCCTTCACACCACTAATCTTCTAATTAGACGTCCTCTTCTGACAGAGTGCAACAGAACATCCGAAGAAAGGGAACATGAAACAACAATTCCTATATCTGAACTGACACAACAACTGAGGATTCACTATGGTGCCCCCGAAGTATATATATGGGACCTTCAATACGACACCTCCGATTCTTTTCTGTCAACAAGTTTGATGAAGAATTACTGCTCGTCGAAGGCTGAGTACCTGTCCCAGATGAAGGTTCAGACACACTTGAGCGAGACAAAAGTGCCCGATGTATTCTCCATAGTATTACAGTGGTATCCCGGGATCCTGTCACCAGGTACTTGCTATCCAGTGAAAGGCCAAGGCATGTTACAGGAGCACTGTGCGCACAGGCTGTTTCCAAGGTTTTAGCTCCATCCGAGGATATCAGCTTAATGCTATTATCAGCATGTCCACCTAATAAGAAGCCAAAATATTCAGGATAAATGTCAGATAACAAAGAAATTAAAATAAATGTCTTAAATAATGTACAAAGGTTTTTTCACAAAATCAGAAAAGTGTTAATCACATATTAAGAAAAGATAGTTGTTTCCAAATAAGGTCTTACATGCTGCAACCATCATACTTTATTGGTTAAAAACATACCAAATCTGAAATGCTTGATCTAGTGTTTTCCCATCCCTTTTGTTAGTGGGCTAATACTAATTAATGCGGTTGGAGAACTATATAAACCTAATTTATGGGCAATTTTATTAATCTGATCATTCTTGAACATGAGGTGGTACTTGAGACAAAGTTATCTGTTGGGGATAAGGTTAGACAATGGTCATAAACTGAGAACCCGTGTTATTGAGCTTAGACAATGTCTGTGGAAGTATTTTGTTTTAATCAAATATAGAGTTCTACTCAATATACTCGTAGAACAATCATTCCGCCAGAGTGTATGTCTAATTAGAAAAGCTACAATGAAAAACACACCAGAAAAATGCGGACGGTCTAGCCTTTTGAGAGGCCAGAGTCCCCCACACCACACTCATGTTCTTCCTTAAACCCTTATTTGAAATCAGTCCTCAATATATATCTACCTAATAGTCCTTTCTCCCACACACCTCACGAGCCTGTGAGGTAATTACAGTGTTATTCCCCTTTTCAAACTTTTGGAAACCTCTGCACTGGAATAAAAATCTTAGATCCTCCCATATCACATTTT